TGTGTGTGTGTGTGTGTGTGTGTGTGTGTGTGTGTGTGTGTGTGTGTTGGACGTCCTGCATGTTGGAGACTTTGAGTAAATATTTGTCCTCTTCCTTGTAGACTTGTACTTTTTAGGCCACTATATTTATTTGTCTGTTTTGGTTAGTTACTTTGAAAATTCAGATTGTTGATACAAAATAAAAATCAACTAAAAACTGTTATTGTTCAAGATTAAGCTACCCAACAGCATATAAAGTAGATGAAATTATCAGCTGTGCTTACACATTAATGCAATAATACTTATATATATATTTCAAAAATGTGGTGCTGCATTTGAGTGTTTTAAGTATTTTTGAATGCCTATATAGTGTTTTCACTTTGTTTCTCCGTCTGGTGTCTGTCCCACCAGCTATTCCAGACTTAAGGGAGCGCACTCTTATTGCTGTAAAGCCAGATGGAGTTCAACGTCGTCTTGTAGGACAAATAATACAGCGGTTTGAGCAGCGGGGCTTCAAGCTGGTTGGACTGAAAATGTTGCAGGTAAAGAAGTCTGAAATGAATGTGTTTGGTGTTGTTACTGTGGTGTGTTCTCTGTTTAATTTCTATAGCTGTCTCTGTTTGGAAGGTGTCTGATGATCTCCTGTCTCAGCACTACTATGAACTGAGGACTAAGCCCTTCTACCCCAGGCTGATGGATTACATGACCTCAGGGCCTGTTGTTGTTATGGTGAGGGCGTCTCTATACTTCTGGGATACTCCTGTATTTAAAAAAATAAAAAATAAAAAAATAAAAATCAACGTTTTCATTAGGTTGACAGACATGAAAGGTGTGTTTTCAAAAATGAATGGTAGAATATCATATAAATCAAAATACACAGAATATCTGTGTAGTAAATCTGCTACAATCTTGAATATCCTGTTTTTGTGTGTGCTTATGTGAGTTATTTTATTTTCATTTAGGTGTGGGAAGGGCACAAGGTAGTCCAGACGACACGTACAATGGTGGGGCATACTAACCCAGCGGAGGCCCAGGCAGGCACAGTCAGAGGAGATTTCAGCTTTCATGTCAGCAGGTAACAGGAGGTCATTTGATCTAATTTTGTGTAAAGTAAGTTTCAGGGTTAAAAAACAACCTCATGACACCGCCACCTTCTTGATATCGCATGTGATTTTTCTGTGTTGGAGGTAATATGAGGATGTGTGTTGGTCATTTAAAGGAATGTGGTTCATGCCAGTGATTCACCGGAGGGGGCACAGAGGGAGATCCAGCTGTGGTTTCAGAGAAAGGAGGTCCTGAACTGGGACTGCTGTGACCAGACCATGACCTGTGAGGTGTGAAGACGCTAAGACATACAATCTATGACTAAGACCCGGACGCAGTGAGAATCAGTAATACTACCTCATCTCCTGCTGCTCAAAGGTCTGTCTCTTGTGACGGTAATTGAAAAACGATAAGTCATTTTAAGTGTTCCTATCAAATAATTTACCTCAATAACTGCAATTAGAGTCACAAAGATTTATGTTTAAACAAATGTGACCGAGTATTTTTTTTATTTTTATAAATCAATATATATCGGCAACTACACACAATGCATAGCTGTGACATCCTTCATTGAACACGGACAGCAGGAGGTGTTTGGCCTTTGGTGTCAGGATGAGATGTGTGTAGTAATCGAATAGATGTATTTTATTAATATATGGAAAACATTGAGGTGCAGTGTGGAGCCATAGTGGATTAACTTAATTTAACCTGAATGACAGATGCATGAATTGTGACCTGATTTACAGCTAACATATATATGCACATGTATAGGTCTAACATTAACGATCAATATGATTTTTTTTTAAAGATATCAGATTTAAGTACTATCAAGCAACAAAGCAAACAACAAAAGTAAGATTTTTGTGAAGTAATAATAAATAGTAAGTAAAATCTATGCTTTTATGTTGTTTTACAAATTGTGTGTAGAGTTGTTTTGGAAATATTAAGCACACTAAAAACATTTTTAGCAAACTGTTGAAATATGTATGTAATTGTTCTAACTTTGTGTCAATTGTATGTAAATCAAGTGCATTTATGTAATTGAAATTGTAAAGTAATCTTCCTACCTCTGTTTGAAAGAAGAAAGAAATTAAAAAAGAGAGAACAGTTGCAAGTACAAATCTTTGTCAGGAATTGTCTGAAATGGAAATAGTTCATAGTCTACCCAAAATCAAATAATCAATGTTTACACTAGAACATTGAACCTCTGGTCATTGTTATTTGTAAAATGTGCTTTTTCCTGTCAGTTAAAAAAATGTACTCAAGTAATATAATGATGATTTACACCTTCTATTAATGAACAATGAATGATTTAGATTTCATGTTGACACCTTTAGTGTGTCACTTTTTTAATTCTTCATACAGCTGAAAGAATGTCCTCAGTCTGCTGCACCCAATATCACTTATACAAATACATATCTGGGGTTCTTCAAATATATGTATATATTTTAAACTATGTTTTGATCATATAACAGAATATGGAAAGAAGGGTAGCAGTAAACCCATTGATATGGTACAAAAATCCACACAATTGAAATTTTATTCAAGCCAATAAATTGTCAGCATTGTACATTATGTCATGATATTCTCCACAGCTGAAGTCACAATGAAAAACAGAAGAGTCAAACTGAATTTGTGTATTCTTCATGTATCAGTTGAATGTGTATTTGGTCTAAAACCACATCTGTCTGCAACAAGGAAGACTGTCTTAACTCAGATAGATAGCAAGCAATAAAAACACAGAAACAATCAAACATCTGTCTCTACTGAGTCAAACATCTTTCACCAAATTCACTTTTCTTGTAGCTCAAAAAAGTAGTTTGTCCATTGTTGTTAAAATAGAAATCTAATCATCAGAATGTTATACGGTTTATTGAATTGCCTAAACAAAGGATGATAGAAACAATGAAATTGTAAAAAGTATAATGTTACCGAATGGTACGAATAGTAAACCTCTGGCGAGATGTAGAAATCCAAAATAGTAGTATTAGTGAGGGAGCGTTACTTCTAGCAGCTTGCTTATGTTGAAGAATCTGTAGCACATAGATATAACAGTATGTATGATTAAATATGGAAATGCATCTGCAAGATCACTCTGTGCATCCAGCTGTATATGCAACATGACAGTTATCTCCATTGATTTGTATTAGTGAATGTTCGAGAGCTCCGTCACACTAAATCATTCTCTGATTTCAGGCCAATCTTCAGCTTTTGCTTCTCCATCGCTATCTCTAGTTCGGTAGCTTTGCGCACATCCTGAGTAGGATACAAGATAAAATGTGTTTAACAAAGAAATATTGATATTAATATTAATTTATGAAATTCCTTTAGTATCAGACCAAGAACAAGAAAGCTACACTGTAATGAATTGCTGTAAATTTACATGGATTTAAAACGGTATCTTACTGTAGTTCATAATAACTGTAACATACAGTTAAATGTTCATCCCTCGCATGTAAATTAACAGTCAATGCCATAAATTAACAGTTAATGCCGTCAATTAACAATAGCATGAGACTACTGTAATTTATCAGCATGATACAGTATTTTCTGTGAAGTGGTGGAAATTTATTTTTTAATTTTTTAATTTATTTTTCAGGGACAATGCACACTAATCAACAGTTGCACTGTAAGTGAGCCAGAGTTAGCCAGAGAGGCTAATTTCCATCTGGTGTCCCCGGCCAGATGTTTCAAGGCAGCCTAAAATAACAAAATCTCAAATTGGAACGGAATTAAAATTCATAGAGAAACAGACAGCAACGTATAGACAAAACCAATACACAGCAAAAGAAAAGTGTACGACATTAAAGTAGAGCAGACATAACAGGTTTCAGCATGCGTCACGCAGAACAGACCCACCTACAGGACAAGCACATATAACACTGAAGCACATAACATACACATAAAAAAAATGGAAAATAGCAACACTGAACAAGACAAATGCACATATAGGTGAAACAAGCAGGCAGGACAGACAGCACATCAATGCTTGCACACCTGATTGGCAACAAGCCATTTCTTGAAGTTATGCTTGAATGTTTTGTATGTGTTTTGTGTGCGTACGTGTGGTGGCAGAGCATTCCACGAGTGAGCTGCCTTCACAGAGAATGTAGATTTACTAAACGAGCTTGACCTATGTGGAATGACACAATCACCTCTTGAAGCAGATCTAGTGAGTCTGCTGCTTTGAGTGCTTTGTTTAATAAAATCACTAAGTGGAGGAGGGGCCATACCATGTAAAATTAAAAAAACCAGACACACATCAGTGAATTTAATGATGTTCTCCCAACTCAGGATATGGTGTTTGGTGAGAACATTGCAGTGATGGTGACTTTTGGGTTTTTTATCAAGTGTTTTTAGGGCTTGTTTATGGAGAATATGAATGGATTTTAATGTTGTGCTGCTGGCTTGTGCCCAGCTGGTTAAGCAGTAGGTCAGATGGGGGATAATCATTGCATTAAAATACAATTTTGCAGCTTGCATGGTTAGACAGTGTCTTATATATCTGAAATTCATGAGATAAAATTTTTAAGACATTTGTCACATGTTTTACCTGTTTTTTAAAAGAGAGATTAGAATCAATAAAAATTCCTAAATATTTAAAATCTGACACTACCTGAATACGCTTCTCTATACAAGGTCAGTGAATCACAATCCATCTACATCGTACTGTCTATTGTAGGTTAATGTGTCTGTAAAAACGATAGAATATTCTTTATTAGTCAAACTGCTCATTGCCTAAAAGTCATTTTTGAGTGACAATAGTGACAGACTGCTCCTGAATGTGACTTTGGACACAACAGCTTCAGTTCATCCTTCTGAGTATATTCCACGTGGAGATCAACCGAGGAGCCAAGGTAGCGTTAAGCTTATCACCCGAAATTCATAGTCTCCATTATTGTTTTGTCTTCATGATTATTGAACTGTTAACATCTCAGATAATGTTTCACTTGGTCTGTTTCATTACATTAGGTTGCTAATATTGGTGGAGCTAACGTTAGCTCTGTGACGTTAGTTAGCTCGAGCTCAAGTAGCCTTAGAAAGGTTAGCTAGCTAACAGCATAGCAAGTTAAGTTAACATAAATAAAGTTAATCACCAATTACAGTGTTAAGATGTAATGTTAGTAACCTAACTTGTGTTTACTTGTGCTCTTATTGAACCAACTGTAGGACCGCAAACGGGACGATTACCATAAGGGAGAGCGGACCAGAAATCACCGACGTGTGTTCAAGACGATGAACAGTTGAGGTAACGCTAACGTTACGTGTGTGTTATCACAGGAGCAACATTAACACCAGATCAAACTCATTTTAGTGTTGAACATTAGTCCATTGTGGTCCATTGTCTTAGCTTCATTTCTTCACCTAACGTGATCAGCTCATCACATAGTCTGTTGATTTAAACTGTATGGTATTGTTGTATTAGCTTTTTGTAGACTTGCATGTTAATATGTGTGAGGCATATGCAAACTCACAGTTGCACACCCAAAGCCTCTTTTAAGTTTGTTCATCCTGGATATCATAGAACTTTCCAGAAGTTCAGAACATTGTGTTTTTATTTAGTTTGTTTTACAGTCACTCATCATCAGAGATTGAGGATACCTGCCAGTCGCTGCATTCAAGTCCTCTTTTAATGTTTTCATTCATGTGTGAGTTCATGCAATTCAGCGTTTCACTCTTAATGCTATTTTGATTCAGTGTCTGAGGCAGTGACGCTCCGATCGAAAAGTGGCCGATGGTAAGCTACTGTTGTTCAGAGGTATATACCTGTCCCAAGAGTGGTGTGCTACTGTTGTTCAGAGGTAGGTACCTATCCCAAGAGTGGTGTGCTACTGTTGTTCAGAGGTAGGTACCTATCCCAAGAGTGGTATGCTACTGTTGTTCAGAGGTACCTATCCCAAGAGTGGTATGCTACTGTTGTTCAGAGGTAGGTACCTATCCCAAGAGTGGTGTGCTACTGTTGTTCATAGGTACCTATTCCAAGAGTGGTATGGTACTGTTGTTCAGGGTTAGGTACCGATACCCAGAGTGGTATGGTACTGTTGTTCAGGATTAGGGACCGATACCTAGAGTGGTATGCTGCTGTTGTTCAGCAGGAGGTATCGATACCTGGAGTGGTATGTGTTGAAGAAATCATTCAAGTCCAGTTCAGAAGTTGCTGTGATGTTGTGAGTTTATTAACAGCATGCAGGCACACTGGTGACCTCACAGACACAGAACAGATCTGAGCCGGTGAGCCTGCGCTACTAGTCTGAGGTTATCCTCATGAGATCAGTTAAGCCGGTCATTAAAGATTTTATGATTTTTCTTCTAAACATGCAGTACATTGTGAATTTTGTGATGTAATACAAATGTCCCTTTATTATGTGTCTTGAGAACATGTATTAAACTGCAACAATTATGTATTGAATGTCTATTGTGATTATTTTATTTGTTGGAAATTAAATGCAAAAGTATTGGGTTGTATTACCCTTTGTAAATAAACGGTAACATTGTGGCATATAATGTAAAATCACCGTAAAACCCAATTATCATACTATCACATACCATAATCCAGTATACGGTAAGATACTGTAAAAGTAAATTACGGTAGCTTCATCGTAAAAAATCAGTAAATTACTGGCGTCCCTGCTGCCAGTAAGTCACCGTTATTTTACGGTGAAATTGTTTAGAGTGTATCTAGTAATTAGCAACTGTAAAATGTACCCTCTGCAACTAGCTATGAGCTCTTTAGGAACTAATGTGCATTTTGTGGTTTTGAAAATTGAAAGGTTAATAATCTTTAGTCAATGTAGTCTTGCATAATTCAAGGCTAAGCAAACAACCCACGCATAACCTCACAAACACACACATCAACAGTAAACACATAAACAAACACACACAAAAACCACAGGACAAACCTCGAGAAGGGCCTTCTGCACCATTAATTGGCTGTAGACTCTTGCACCTTCCTCTGGTGATGCCGTGCGTAGCTCCTCCTTTTTCAGGGAAAAAAGCTGTGCTCCACTTAAAATGCCCAGTCTCTGAACTGTCCTGAAAGAGGAGGAAGAAGCAACAGAATCAGTATCTGTCTGTTCAGCTTAAAAGCGCTTTCATTGTCAAACATTCACCTATAACCTGGATATGAGTACCTTTGTCAGATAGAATAATCCAGTTGTGTAAATTAGAATAATCTAATGAAGATATAAACGTATCTTCTCTTAAATCAGTTATACATGCAACACAAGCAGTTGATTTTATTTAGTGCACAATAGCGCCAGTTATAAGTTCCTCATAGTAACTTTAAGTTGCAATACATAAACATGGCAGGGACAGTTGGCGGCGCTGTTGTGCACTAAATAAAATCAGCTGCTCGTGTTGCATGTATAATGCAACAGACTGTTTAGATTTCTTTGATTTAATTTCCCTCATTGTTCTTCAAGTCCACAGCACCCACGTGTCCAATAAGCACCCCTCATTCAATTTAGTAAAGCTAAGCTAATATCATTAGTGAAAGAAAATGCATATATTGATTATTTTAGGCACACAACTGGTCTTAGACATTTTGAATGTGATAATCACTTGATTTTCCTGATTGAGAACAAGATGTGGCTATAAATGAACTAATAAGTTCTACAAACTAGCCTTGTTCTGAATCAGGTTTTTGTCTGAGCTGGAGTTTCCTCTAACAGAGTGCACTCACTGTTGACTGAAGCCCTTGGTGGTTAGCCAGGCCTCCACTTCGGCAGACGGTGAGTGGTAGTTCAGGGGAGTAGTGTTGGCTGTGCGGGGGACCACAAGCGGACGGACTGAGTTGCTTTTCCCAGATAACCGCTGAAGAAGCTCATCCTTCACTAACAGGAATGCAAATATATTACAGACAAAACTTAATTTGCTATCAAAGTGTTACATTTCTCCAATTCAAGATCAGTGCTCAACCTCCAGGGTTGAGTTTAATGTTTAATGTTTAATGTGATAAATGTGTATGGAAGGTGTCAACAAAATTTCTGATGATTTTTAGACACACCAAATAGAAAGAAGTCTGTTTATGGCCAGTTATCAGTTGAGAGCTGACACAATTTACTAACCAAAATGCTCTTGTGTCAGAGATATTAGTGGCCATCTGACATGTGTTATAGGGAACCAGCAGTGGAAGCATGGCACTTAAGAAGCTCCTGGGATTCAATGTGTTTGTGAATTTGATATTCTAACAAGTCCCTCTTGTGTTTGTACACATGATTTACCAGTGCTGATTTCAACATGTATGTGCATGTTACCTCGGTCATTGCCTTCTCTCTGTATTGATGGTAAAACCATGCTCTGTGGTCGCATTGGGCTTGTGGCTGTCGGACTGGTCCCAACTGGGCTTGATGGAGCATATGAGAAGTACTTCGTCGGAGGGGACATGGGCACCTTCTGTTGTGGAAAAGTAGGAATGAATAAAAACTGTGAGATTGAATGAGGCAAAAAGCCACAATGTGTGCAATATTTGAAGCACTGACAAACAACAGCACTCTGTATGTGTGTGTGTGTTGTGTCTGTTCTTGTACCTTTGACTCTCTGCGTACCACTGGGCTGTTTCTCCCAGTGTTATTCAGAGCAGACAGAGGCTCCAGGATATTAGAGGAGACAAATCCTATCTGGTCAAAGCGATTTCGACACTTCCACCATCTCGTTGATGAATCAATGACCTAAAGAAAGATCAGTCAAGTGTCGTGATACATTCGAAGAATACATCTACTTTTACAGGTGGGTCTCTAATTCTAATTATGGATGTGTACCTCTAGGGTTTCTCCTTGTAGCACAGAGAGTTCACTGCTGTTTCTAGCCACAAAGTCATAACTGCAGCAGTAAAGTCTTTCACCCTCTGGTGGCAGCCCACTTCCTTCTCTGAAATAGAAGTGTCGTTTAAAAGATAAGCAACATGTAAAGAAAAAAAGAACCCATTAACAAAAAGGAGTCACATGTCAGTAATCATAATCTCTGATTTGAGAAATTGACATGCGTTATTCTCAGACTTTATAACCTCCAGATGGATTTTATGAGGCAATAGACCGTTAATTGCAGACATTTGGGAATTGGTTGGCATCGTCACTTCTGCTATAGTTATACCTTGTTCTGTAATGCTTTTTCCGAGGCTTACGGACTTACATTTCATCATTGCCTTCACCAGGATGCTCCACTGTCTGTTGAACTTGGTCCTGTGGAATTCGTGCCTCCCTACTTTCCCTGAAAGCATCTTGTTTGTGCTGTGACTCGATGGGATCTTCGAAAAGCTGGCCTGTTGAGTTATAGGCCTGAGGCTTCCACCCATCCAGGAAGACAGGTGAGTATGGAGGTACAGACACATTAAGTTGCAAACTGAAAAGAGGGCAAGAGGATCATGTTAGAGCAACACTCTCAAACCAAGATTTACACACACACATACACATAAACACATACCAGGGTGAAGTCCAGTTGGGCCCTAATGAAGTCCACAGCTCCTTTTCCTCTTCAATCAGATGGTCGTGGAGCAGTGAAACAGCACCACTGGTCATAGCAGGACTGACCACCGATGCTCCTAACGCTGGCCCCCCCATGGTTTTCACCATCTGTAAAAGAGAGGGTTGCTAGAGTCAGTATTGCAGAGAGAATGAGATAATCTTCTAAAAGAAACATTAGAAAGCCTCACCAGTCCAAGAGGTGCAAAGATGTGATGCAGCAGCTCTGGTGCATTCGGCTGTGCAATGGATGACTGGAGACGGTCCTAAGTAAACCAGGAAATTGGATCATTTACTTTTTCATTTTCAGCCGTTTTATCAAAATTGTACATTTCCAGAGTTAATCAACGCTCTATTATGACTACTCACCAGCAGATTGAGGGAGTACTTGATTTTCTGAAAGAGGTCCACAAATTCTTCCTCTGATGGAGGGCAAGCTTTCAGGGTCAACAAATCATCTGCACACAGAGGAGCATAATCACAGCAACAACTTAACAGGATACACATGCCTAATTCATGATTAACAGGAAGCGCATAGCTCCACCACGATCACTGTTGTTATTGCGCATGCATTGATTTGAACTTGATATTAGCTGGTGTCAGTATTATTTGTTGAGTTATTTAATTATCAAGAACATTTTGCAAGTTGAAAAGCATTTGTCAACACTTTTCGGAAAATAAATGAACGATAGAAAAGAATAACAAAAACAGTAAAGGTGAGGAGTGCTTGTTCTTGCATGTTCCAGCAAGTACTCCTATAAAACAAAGCCAGTGGTGGTGACTAATAACAATCTTCTATTTCTATTTCAAACGGGTAAATTAAGCAAGTTTAAATTTGTTGAAAATAAAAATACATATATTGTTTTAGTGGTGCTTCTTAATAACCTACCGGATCGACTTGGCCCCAGCTCCCATAACTTCTTTGTCATGTTTCTTGTACATGCTTGCTGCAGGCAAGGATTTCGCAATTATCTGAAGATTTGTTTGGCACCCTGCCTGTTGATCATCTTCCAGTGCTTAAAATAGTGTGTCAATATTTACCCTTTGTCTCCAGTTTCCTGCCTCTACCACAAGCCACACATTCATCAATCTCCTGCCAAGCACCACCAACTTTTCAACTGTCCTCTGCCACCAGTTGATCTACACTTCTTCAAACCTACCTTCAATATAACATTAAAAGTATAAGTAAGTAAAAGTATTTATCTCATTTAGACCACACTAATTAAACTATGACTACAGTAGTTAGTTAGAATGGAAGAACAACTCTCACCATCTTGGTCCTTGTTCTTCTTGCTCTTTCTGCTTCCCTTTTTTCTCCTTTGTTTGAGAACACTCTGGGCCTCAGCCGTCTGCTGCAAGCGTGCCATGAAACGCTCCACGTCGTCAAAGCAGTGGTTCATAAACTCCTAAAGAAATACTGTATGTCTTAGCCATTTACCAGAGTGACTTACAGAAAGTGTTTTGATACGTTAACAGTTCATATTACTGGTCATTTTTACATTTTCGACATATTTAAAAATGCAAATATTTCATTTTGATCATCTATATCACCTTGTTATCACTGCTGTGATATTTCTTCTAGTGTATAGACAAAGGTTGCTGTCTTGATTTTGCATAAATACAGTATGTGGTTTATAAATGATATGGACATACTTTCTTTAAGATTTTTTGCACAGGTTGCTACCTGCTCTCTTTTGACTTTAAGTTATAATTGATTATTTGTAAGCTCTGTATGCAAACCCTTTAGTCAGTATACACGCATAGACATATAAAAAATGATCTATGCAAGTACGTACCAATTCTCTCTCTGCATTCAGTATAGATGTAGAATTTGACTCTCCAATGGCAACATTCTCTGAGGAGAGGAAGAACAAATCCATTAAAGCAAAATTTGACATATGTACAAAAACACGAAGCCTGCTGTATTATGTCAATAGCAAGAAGCAGGAAGCAGGAGCACAGAGAATGGAAATGCATCTTTGTGGCAACAGCACATGCTCACACATATACACACACACACATATTAGGCAGATTAATATACTGTAGCCTACCTTTGTCAAAATTTGTGTCAATGGGCAGGCCACCAGGAGGAAGCTGCTTCCCTGGAATAAACATGACTCGGACCCCTGAATGCTTTCTAGGGGCCACCGGAGGCGGTACTGCAGACATCTGTTGTGTGTGGATGCAGACAGAGTAAAATCATGCCTATACACACAATAGGGGATAATGCTCATACTATAATAAACTTCACGTAAATGTTTACTGATATTTCACCTTGTGTCTGATGGTTCTAACACTTTATTTCCTGTGTTCTGGGAAATGCATTATCCCACTATATGTTATCACATTATTACTTAATGTCAATCATATCTTGCTTCTTAAATGTTTTAACTTTTCTATTTTGACTAGTCTATATATGTTTGAAGATTGTCAAAAATGATGAATGAGAGTTCATTATTGCCACATTCCACGAGCTGATTGTAAGAATGCTGAGTATTCACACTCGGACTTTGGCGTGCATGTGAGTGACTGATGCGCACGACAGGAAAAACCACTGACATCAAATGCATGGTATGCAGATGACACTATCACCAAAACTTGCTCAAGAAACTGTGCCAGCTGAAAAGTACAAAAGTTCATCACAAGTGTTTATTTTGCAAACACATTGTAGTTTTGATATCTCTTTTGCTGATCTTCCAGCCTTTCCTCTGTCATCCTTCATCTTCCAACATACAGTTAAAGCAGTAAATATGGTATAAACTATTTCAATCATCAACAATTTCTCATAAAATCCACATTACACAGAAAAATCCCTTCACACAATAAACAATTATTAAATATTGTAACGTATCAAGATAAAGTGAAACTACTTCAAAAGTCTCCTCTGAGCACCATATTACTGACACAAACTGTGCACAGGTGTACTGGTCTCTCAAACACACATAAACAGTCACACAAACGCACACTCTGTTTGCATAAAGTTAACACATAGAATCTAGATACATCACCTTTTAGTGCGGTTTGAGTGTTTAAATCCAGGGCACAGAGACCAATCCTCGTGCTGAGTTGTATGAGCACTGAGTTAAGATACACAAGGACGTCCCACCTTCTTGAGATGTGAAGAAACAGGAAAAACGAGTCTGGCTTTCCTTTTGCATATAATTGGTGTTGCTGTCACTCTCCTCTGATTTTCTGACACACACACACACACACACACACACACACGCTCCCTCCCTCCCTCCCGTTTTTCTCTCGGTATCTTTGTGAGCTTCTCTTTTCTAATGACAGGCATGTAGCAACAACCGCCTGTGGCTTGTGCCAAGGGGGCTAATGTGACCTGCAACACATGACATTCCAGAAATGTAATGCAGTCTTCCCACCTCCAAAAACTCTGTGACATCAAGTTTCATTTGAGACTAGGCCAAAATAAGGCTCAGAGTTGAAATGGGTAGATAAGTGTGTCAATAAAAATAAATGAAAGATTTGAATGCATTGATCCTTTGGATTGGTATTAGTTAAGTCAGCTTAACTAATTTGATTTGAACATTTCTTCCCTTTATAGTCACATACCTACCAATCGCATTCAAAATAAAATATAATAATTTCATATACATTTTTTTATAGTCTTGCAATTGTCTGTTCTTTAAGTGTTCTCGTTGGCTGAGTGAAATCAAAGGAAATTGTTAGAATTTAAGATAAGATGGAGTTTCCATCATACTTTAATCAACTGCAGACTAAAGTCACTAAGCTAAACTAAGCTAAGAAAAGATCAGATACTCGGGTACAAGAAAGGGAAGTAAGGTCATGGCGTTCGGGAAAACCGAGCAGTTGGTGAACAGTGACCCCAGCTGGTTGTTGGAGGTCAGACATCATCTGTCCCTGCAGCTCTCCTGGTGTTTTACTGTTGCTCAGGTCCAGGAGGCTATGAACAGGTGGTCAAACTGAAAATCAAAGAGTTGATGGAATTAGCAAGTGTCGAGGATAATGGGGCGGCCACACAACTGCAAGCATAATGGATTCAGCTCCATGCTTCATGTTTTCTGCACGTTGTTCCAAAAAGCCTTGAGTTTTGCAATGCATACTGAAGACATTCACTTCAGTGCCATTCACAAAATAATATACTGTAGGTACCACTGTTGACACTGAACTATTAGCAGCTAGTATACATTGATTTATGTACTGTTTTGTTATTACTCATTGCAGGATATCTTGTTATTGATATTGAGAAAAAAACAGCAACAGGCCTTTCTATCTTTTTCTCCCAATGTTTCAGATCTTGTCTTGCCATTGTGATATTTTGGGCAATGATAAACTGGTGGGGTGTAGAAAAACAATACACAACAGAGGAGTCACGTTACAGTTTCATTCTGTTTAACTCCGTCCAACAATGTGCCAGTATGACTTTCTGAATATGATTCATGTTAACCCTAGGATTTCCTCAGTCACTTTAAATACACTTGAATGGTGACTGTGAAAAATCTGGTCTTCTACCCATATTACAGGGACCATAAACTTGAATTCATGCCAATTGGGGATTCCTGAATTCTTTTTAATTTGTGCGAGCAAGTAGCCTAAGGTCGTTTTGGCACATTTTGTCCACCAGGGAGTGTAGACATTTTTATGCCGGAGAGCCAACAGGTGGCCAACACCTCCCTCCCTCTAACTACAACATTAAACTGCTGTATGGGACCACTCTGGACAGTTATTGTCTTTTAGACTATACTTGAGTGGCACAAATTTAGTTTATGTTTTTTCACTCTCAAAATGTAGCCTATATTTCTTCCCTTTGCTCTTGTACCAACAATCAGTCCAGTCAAGGCGCTGATTTGCATGAGCTGATGAGAGTTATTTGGGACCTAATTGGAAGTTAATCAACCGCTAATTAGGCGCACTTACGTTCTGCGCCCTCTTGCAGAGCCTTGTGTTGACTTTTGCTAAAGATGCAGGCAGCGCCTCTACCCTAATTGCACGAATATACCCTCAGTCAAAATTGTCGGCTTTTACATTTTCATATTTAAATACATTCTAAAGCAGTGCAGTGAGTATGAACACATGTCAGTGCACATAACTCTGTTCAGCGGTGTATTTGTCAAACCTACTGACACACAGGAACATCCAGCAGTGTGCTGTCCAGCTCCGTTAAACGTTTTGGGGAAGGGCAGTTCAGCCCCCTCAGTCCTCCCATTGGCTCCATCTGCAGTAACGTCTGCTTCATGTCTTCTCGGGTTGGCGACGACAAAAGTTTGTTCCAGCACGAGAAACGTGGCCACAAAACAAACTATCTGCCCGAGACGGTCCTCCCCTTAGCGAACTATATTTGTTAGCCCGACTATTAGCAAAATCGAAGAAAGGAAGAGTTTAAAAGTAGCGTTGTGAAAAAGGGACAAAGTGACGAGCAGGGAAACCAACTCCAGGACTTCTGGAAACTCTAACGTCACTCCTGTCTTGGACCGTGCAGTCAGCATGGTATGTCCACCAGACACTTACGCTTAATTAACGTGACTGAATGAGCTGTAATATTTAAAGTCCGTGTGCTCTTATTGTTTGCTTCTGTCTTTTTATCTACTGACTTTCTCTTTTTTTTTTTTTTCGTTGTAAATTTACTGTTACTAACTCCTCTGTTACTTAACCAGTCATGAATAGGCTTTAAGGCTGCGGGTTGGCTCACTTTAGATAATCTCTGCTATGCAGCTGATCTTCTGTACATTTGTTCACAAAAATGCCCATGCTGCTATATTCTGCCACAAATATGTTTCAAAATCTTACACAACTGTCAAAGCTTTTTTTTTTTTTTTTTAAGTCTGTGTTGATTTACATTTATTTGAGTCCCTTCACTCTGTGGCTCTAACTACAACGTTGATAACAATCCTACACATTGATCTGATGTGGATGTAAACCACCTCAATTAAGAGCTGAAAGGCAGCACTTTAACCTCATAGTCATTGTTTCATTTTGACTCAAATGTGACAACAGTGTTGTGCAACTGTCCACAAACTGACACACTGCACTGTAGTCAGTATTGAACCCAAAATATAATTTAATGACTCGCATATACAGATTATCATGGGATCCATTGGCAATAAACTACTGAAGAGAGGGAAATTGGTGAGTGGTTTCATGATTGACAGCTACTCAGATTGTGCAATACTATGGTTTGTGTGTGTTGGGGCAAGTGTATTGTATATGTATTTGCTAATGTATACCTGTGCAGGGTGTTGGCACTTTTCCTTTAGATCAATGCATACTGGGATAGATTCAAGACTTAAACCATGATGGGGCAAGTAGAGAAAGTGACTAAATAAACTTAGTTGCGACGAACATCTCAGTACTTGTGGATTATAGCTGATGATATAGCTCCCATTCTGCAGCTCCTTGGTGCAGTTGTGCCCAGCATTTCATAGTCGAATGCCTTGTTAGTATTTTGCTTCTTCAAGTCCTTTGTATGTAATCCAAAAGATTATTTTCCTATTGTGATTGCACACGTCAGGACGGCAATAGATGTTGTGACCTACTCATTTTGAATACTGAGACAACATTCTAAATGTTGACCAGACATCTCTCGTTTCATTCCCGTTTTTAATTTAATCTTGAGCCTAACTAGTTCCTGAGTAGTCTCTCTGAAAGGCCCTGAGTAGATTACCAAAGATACTTTTACAGAAAAAAAAAGACCCTGGCTCCTCTCCAAACATGATGCTGACATGTAAAATCCAAGTTGTGAAAGGGTCTTTATTCTGGCTGTTTGCGAAAGGTTGGGGTGTCTGCAGACAGAAACACACACGTGTGTCATGCTGTTTAAAGCGTTCATCCATATAATGTGGGAACACATAAAACAAAGTGTTTCACTGCTGAACATGTGTGACAATGATTTATTTCCACTTTTGTGGTTTTATATGTAAGTGTAACTATCCTCTTCCATTTTCTGAATCATGAAACATGTCCAGTATGACTCTTCTTATGCAATTTAGATAGCACTGACTGTCATACTAGAGTGAGGCTACATTTGACTCCAGTGAGCTAACATAGAAATAGAAATCTCTGTACGCTGTAATGCAATCCAATACAGTCCTATACACAATTTACACAAGTAGCACGGTTTCAACAAAATCAGACCTTTCATGGCAGGCTATTAGATTGCATTACGTCTTACCAAATAAAGTTGAAGAAATTAATGTAATATTTTTTGTGTAAATAATACATACCAATGATTATTAACATTATGAGGACATATTGGAATATATATTAACATGCTTATTCTGTTTTATTGGATACCAGTTGTGGTGTAAAATACCTAGACTTTATTAATTATAACAACTCAGCAAACAACCAGAGATAGACCCTCGCTGACCAATAGGCAAAAATGAATAACCACTCTGTGTGTGTGTGCTGGGGGGGAGGGGGCTGTGGGGCAATAAGATAATTTAAGGTTAGCCAAGTATAGCAAAACAGAAGAATGTAGTAGTTCTTTCCCTAAAGACTGTATGCAAGTCACAGAACTGAAGAAGCAGCATGGTGTTTTCTTCTCCACGGTTTTTGAAGATGTGTTAAAAGTTTTTAAAAAAACTAGAGAGAGTACTCTACAGTTTCCGAATAAGTGCAAATAAACGAAAAATACCTCGGCCTCTCACTTTTAAACATAACTGTGTACACGACAACCTGATACAGGCTTGCTGTGTTGGTCAGGAGCTTTAGGACCAGTTTGACGGTGCACTGAAATATCCAAACTTGTAAATCTGAGTAAGAGTTGAACTGAATCTGCATTTATGCAAAAGTTTTTCTGTTTCAATGACAACTTTTAAAATTTTGTGATTAGGTCGGTTCTCTTTTTTTTCAGTCTCTTTTGAAGGACATTTCGTTTTTCTTTGAAAGGAAAGAGCTACACCACTAAGGTTACTCGCACATCTGATAGCCAGACTTTATCAGTTCATAACATACTGCAGTAATGAATCAGATCCAGGTGACCTGAGTCGATCACTATTCAAGGTTAGTTAAATCTGGAGAGAACAAGGGCAGCAACTAGCAATTGTTTTCTTCGATTAATGTATAATAGATTAATCTACAAAGTCTTTTAATATTTAAAAATTACATCATCAAGTTCACTTCTTGATATGCCTGATTAAAAGTCCAAAACCCAAAGAAGTGGGCACCAGTGAAATGTTGGTTTATGTGCTTAATAAATAACATGTAGGATTCCTTGATTATCAAAACTGTAGCAGATACATTTTCCCAATTACTGATTTATCTATCTATCAATCGACTAATCATTTCATCTCTAGAGGTATCGCTGGATGCTGTTTGACAGACGTGTCACCACTATGACAACAAAAAGCCTGTTTTGGTCTTTGATCAATTTAATTCTCAAAATGTTGACAAAAAATGATCATAGCCTTCTTATAACAAGCCTCCTGCCTTGTTACCAACTATATCCACCACATGGTGCACCCATGCACTTCAGCACCACCCACAGTGTGAACCAATGTAAACCTCACACCTCCCCCTCAATTTTCCCACCCACTCCCAAGTTTACGACACCGAAGACTATCTCTCCTTCACTCAGAGATATGCCTAGTGGCTGCTGCTCTTCCCACTTCCCTTCCTATCTATTTATGTGTGCACACATTTTTGTGTCACTCTCCCACACGTTTCTGTGTATGTGTGTATGCACGTTTCTGAAATCACCTGATGTATCTGCCTGTCCATGTGTCCTGACCAGCCACATACTTTTCAGGGTCATACACCTCCTGTAATTTTCCATTCTCACCAGCTGGTACTTGCAGTGGTCATGTTCTAAAGCCAGTTTGGCACATGTTAGGCCATTTTGGATCGATCTCACTCATATGAGCCAAGTCAGTTGGTGAGAGTGTGTAGTTCAAGTGCAGCCTGGTGATCGGATGTTCTTGAATAGAGTTTTCTTATTCTTGTTGAACAGTGACACCTGGCATTGGGGTTTTCTGTGCCTTTTTGATCTAATTACCTTGTTATTTGGATAATTTTCACATAATAAACCACAGTAGCCAACACATGGAACAATCTTTTCATTGGATATGTTGCCTAAAGATGCACTGTTGGACAGTGTAAACATACTATAGTCTACGTCCTACCAAACAACACATTTTCATTGCTGTTGTTATCCTTAACATTTTAGTGATCTAATTTTGAATTGTCTGAATTGGTAAAATTACTATGGGTACACACATTTTTGACAAACGATCTTGGTTAGCGGTGACGAATACATTGTTTCTACTTTTTCACAATAAAAGTGAGTTTTGCCAGTTGAATGGTTTTGAAGCGGAGCAGTAAGAAATGTTCTGTTTGCATTAGCAGTAACATGGCACATCTCTGATACGGCAAAGCTAGCAGTAATCAGTGAGGCTAAACATGTAAAACAGTAATGCTGTATTAGTTGCATCATTTCCTGTAATTTCATGGTTACAGAATCTAAATCCAATGGAAAAAAATGGCAGAACAAACTCAAATCAAAAACTGTGTTGGTTTCCTTGACAGTGTTGTGGTTTAGGATTTGTTTTATAAACTGCACAGTGTACAGACAGGATCTCATAGTGTCTCTGCATTTTTCCCAACATGGAGCATATCATCCTTGCTTATTTATGAAATTGGAGTGCCGCATGAGTTGCAGCACATGTATCTTACAATTGTGTTTTCAAATGGCAGGTGAAGGTTGGAGACATGCTCTAGTTCCTCTGGACTCTCAGTCATAACCCCCTAACACTGTACATCTAGCATGTTCTTATATTATTTGTTGTTATATGACTGGTGAATGATAAGTGGGACTATATCTGCAGACATAGTAAAGGCACTCAAACACATTCAGTGTTACATGGGGTGCTGAACTTTACATTATTTTTGTTTGCAAGGGTCTCATTCATTTTCTTGGCATAAAATAAAATTTTTACTTTTATTTGGACTGTCTCATGTCAATAAGCTAATAACTTTCTACCAACGAATCATCAGTGAAGTTTATCATTCTTCTTCTTTGTTCATGTCAAGACGGAGAAACCTCCTCTGGACAGCGACGAGAATGGAGCCTGGTTGAGTGAGGCTCAGTCTGAAACTCAGCTTACAACTGGGCAAGGTCCAGACGGAGTTGAGACATGCGATGCCGACCGACCAGCATGGGACTCTAAGCTCCAGTATGTGTTAGCACAGGTGGGGTTCAGTGTGGGCCTGGGGAATGTGTGGAGGTTCCCATACCTTTGCCACCAAAATGGAGGAGGTGAGTGTCTTTAAAGAAAAGAAAATGTACATTTCAGCTCTGTAGTTTTGACTGACTCATCACAGTACCTCTCTTGAAACTAGTAGCTGACGATTCTTTTTTACACACATGGTTATTTTGACGCATGTTTTAAAATCTTCTTTGCCTCTTTCTAGGGGCCTTCATGCTGCTGTATGTTTTTCTTTTAATATTTGTGGGAGTTCCACTGTTTTTCATGGAGTTGGCAGCCGGCCAAAGCATTCGCCAAGGCAGCATTGGTGTATGGAAGCACATCTCCCCAAAGCTGGCAGGCATCGGTTACTCCAGCTGCATTGTGAGCGTTGATTTTTTTCTCTCTTAACATTGTTTCGTTCTGGGTTTAGGATTGTACTGTTCATGTATGAATGATAAGTCATGTTTTGGTTTATTTGTTAGTGGGGGCAAATAAAAGCCAAAATGGGGAGGCAATAATATCTCTATTATATATATTCTCTATCCTGTATTATATTGGATGTATTTTTACAAACACATTTGCAACGTCATTACTCAAAGCTCACAGTATCTCGGCTGCCGTGGTTCGGTAGCTGCCTGACTTTTTCATGTTAGAGTTTCAAAGATCGGGCCATCATCAATATTTTAGATATGAGCCCCAGAATGAAAAGATTCATAGGCATGAATGTCTTCCTCCACTGGTCTCATGAAAAACCCCATAGCAGTGCTACCTCATATATCACCTCTCGTTAAACAACTGTCTTTTTATTACCAGCTACGCTGTATGTATACTTAAGAAAGGACGCTGATGACATCATGCCATGCTGTAATGTGAGAGAAGCAGTGCGCTGTATTGCTGGCAGTTTGTTGCGTAACACTTTTCCCTACAGCCGGAACGTGGCAAACACAGAGTTGGCAAGAACTTTCTGTGCACACACAGAAGTATACTTGTATGCTTGGACGCCGATGTTTTTTTGGTTGTTTTTCCAAAAAGGCACATTTCTCTTTTAGTCCCCGTCAGTGTCACAATTCATTACTGCTAGGCTTTAAACATAAGTGTGAACACTTTAATTAGCACTTTTGGGTGACACGTGCATTAAATTAGAAAAGAATCCTATCGTAGGTGGATTTATGTTTGCTGTTCTCCTCTTGACCTTGAAAGAACTTTTCAGACTGCACACTAAAGAGGTCGGCACATACTGTAACCAATATCGCAAAGGCCTCGCTATGTCAATATTAATATGTCATTAAGTAAATCATTCATGAACTCTTTCTTCTCCTCTAGGTCTGTTTTTACGTGGCTCTTTACTACAATGTTATTATTGCATGGAGCCTGTTCTACTTGGGTAATTCTTTTCAGTATCCTCTGCCATGGGAGCACTGTCCAATTGATGTAACCACCAACGACACAGGTACTGACATAACTGAGATGTCAATCAAAATTAGGTGTCACGTACTGTAGATGCCAGTAAGGTCTAGAATATTGTCTGTTCTCAATCAACAGTGAAAGAATGTGCAGGTTCTTCCCCAACGTCATATTTCTGGTTTCGGAAAGCTCTTAACATCACGAATTCCATCGACGAATCGGGAGAGTTTAACCCCATCATGACGGGCTGTTTATTGGCGGCCTGGGCAATTGTCTCCTTGGCTATGATCAAGGGCATCAAGTCTTCTGCAAAGGTAAGTTAAACTTTCTTCTCTTTATCACCCAGCTCCAAGGGATATCAACAACCAATACCTACACACATTATGCTTTGTTAAATTGTTAAAGGAGTAAGGCCATATTGTTTGTGGGGGGGTTCTGGCGTACAGTTAAATGAGAAGATGCATACCACTCTCATTTGCCCAGTAAATATAAGCAACTGCTAGCAGCCCATTTGCTTATCTGAGCACAAAGACAGGATTAGTGAAATCATTTGTGAGCTTTATTGCTGGTAGGCAGATTTTATTTCCTCCAGACGGAGCCCGGCTAGCGCTGTACCCGTCTCCAGCCTTAATGCTAAGCTTTGCTAACTAGCGGTATCAGTCTATTCATCTAACTCTCTGTCAAAAGCCATTAAGAATATTTCCCTGTGTCAAACCATTCCTTAAAAATGCTCTGGCACAGAAATCATCTTCCATTTCGTTTCCCAAATCTTAGGTGATGTACTTTTCCTCAGTCTTCCCGTATGTGGTGCTCTTTATTTTCCTCATCAGAGGGTTGATGTTGGACGGTGCGATGGAAGGAATCAAATTTATGTTTTATCCTAAAGTAAGCACACATTTCACCTCGTGTTTGGTTATAATCATGTGTTGATTATAATTTGTATCTAATTTATGGCAAATGAAAAGTGTTTTAATTTAATGTTTTAAATAACTTAATAAGACTTTGTTTTGTGATCATTTTTAGCTGGAAATCTGGGGAAATGTGCAGGTATGGCGCCAGGCTGCTACACAAGTGTTTTTTGCCCTTGGACTTGGCTATGGCTCTGTTATCGCGTATTCCTCCTACAATCCAGTCCACAACAACTGCCACAGGGACGCGCTTATGGTGTCCGGCATCAACTTCATGACGTCTGTGCTGGCCTCGCTGGTGGTTTTCGTCGTGCTGGGTTTCCGTTCCAAGAACACTGCACTACGCTGCATGGCTGAGTACGGATGTGTGGGTGTGTGTGTGTCTGTGTATGAATGTTTATTAATGTGCACTCATTACCATCGACCACAATATTTCTAATGCTGCTGAAATAACAAATAAGCCAAAATGTTTAGTTTGTACAGTATTCTCAAAGACCAAACTATATAATAAAGTGTAGTTGTTTTGCTTAAGGCTCAGAAAAAAATGCCCTCTTGCTGGTTGAAAATACTATTAAAGGCAAACACTTTCATGCATTGCCCTTTGAAGATTGATGAATTTCTACAGTATCTGTCCCAAAGGTAGAATGTCGTGCATTATTTCCTGGTAATTTAGCATATTCATGATAAATATTCAAGATTAACGGTAACGGTGACTTTTCTCAGCTGATATTGCCTAACTTATATTTTGTCCTTTTACTCTAACCTCTTCCAGAAATCTTGGTCTTCTAAGCCTGATGTCGTCCTATGAATCTAACCAGCACTTGGTTGGCCTTGGTTGGCCTTGGATCAACATGACAGATCCAAGCTCTGTGTCTTTAGCTGAATACAGAGAGTGGTACAGTCACTACAGCTCAACGATTGGTCCTAACATCACTGACTGCAGCCTGGAAGAGGAGATGAATAAGGTATACCTGAGATCAAATTTGAATTATCTTTCTTTATAAGTAGGCTATCAACACGTGTTCTGCGTCACAAAACCAGAAAAAACCTTCAAGAGAAATTCTAACGGGGATAAAACTATCTCAGAAAACAATTAGACAAGCAGGAATCAAAGCATTAACTAAAAATAGTTAGCGACGACAAATTAAAAAATGTGGGATTTAAACTGAGGTGAACGTTTAAATAGTAACAGTAAGAAGGTGTGGTACTGAGGACCCCTGATAAGTCTGTGAGGTATTGTAGATTATCCAGCTGGCAAGAGGAAGACAACATATGGGACACAGTATCTAGTCCGTCTCTTGGCGAGATGCAAACACGCTGTGATAGAGGAGTGAAAGGAGAAACTAAAGAAACAAGCTGGGGTACTAAAGGTTATCTTATCTCATAGTGTTTATTTTTACGAAAAAAGATCACTCACCCCCTACTGCAGACTACTACAGCAGTGCTTCTGGTGTGATGCTATCGGATTATAGCTACAAATAGGGGTCCAAATACTAACTTATAAGATTGGGTAATGACTTATTCCCTCTATCTTCCCTTTGTGTGCGTGCAGGGTGTTGAAGGGACAGGCCTGGCATTCATAGCCTTCACTGAGGTGATGGCCCTTTTCCCTGCCAGCCCCTTCTGGTCCACACTGTTTTTCCTAATGCTGCTCAACCTGGGCCTCAGCACCATGTTTGGGACCATGCAGGGAATCCTCACACCTCTCATGGACAATTTTAGCTTCTTGGGCCGCCACCGGACCCTTCTCACTGGTAATGCACACAGAATTCTGCCTCAGGCAGGATATTTTGGTGTCTGTCTATGTATAGGCCTGCCAGAATTTTGTTTCTTTTAAGAATTCAGACATCTATTGCCTCTAAAGACTACAATTGTCTGTATGCAGTAATACGGTCCAACTAACACTGTCTGCCTGCCTTTTTGTTTTTTAGTGTCCAGCTGTGCTTTGGGGTTCATAATAGGACTGTTGTTCACTCAGCGCTCAGGCAACTATTTTGTGGCTATGTTTGACGACTACTCTGCAACTCTACCGTTAGTCATTGTTGTAATCTTTGAAACCATTAGTGTGGCGTGGGTTTATGGAACAGATCGGTAAGAAACCTGTAACTGTTCAATTATTTCTGTTCAGTTTTCTTGTCTTTTATTCCTTATTTTGAAAATCTGTAAATGTTCTCTGTCACTGCAGCTTCCTGGATGACATTGAAGTCATGCTCAAATGGCGCCCTCCAGTGGTGTACAAATATCTTTGGAAATATGTTTGTTTGCTGTCGATGGTTGGTCTTCTGGCTGCTAGTTTGTTGCGTATGGTCTTCAAAAGGCCCACGTACACCGCCTGGAATCAAACCACGGTAAGATACCAGCCTACAGCTCTCTGTCCTACACAAAACAATTTAATACACAAAATCCTCTGTTATAGTTTACAATATATGTGACATACTCACCAAGATTTGTACACTTGTTCTTCCAACTGCACTCAATAACTGCAAAAACAAATGCTGATTATTTTTTTTTCAAGCTGTTGAAGCAACTTAATATGTATTAATTGTATTTACGTGTTATGATGTTGTGATTATTTTGATTTACTTCTTCGCATAAATGTTTTCATATTCATATATATTGATATTCTAAAAGCTGCTAAAAGACTAATAATAGGGAATAATTTAATCTTACTGTGCAATTTTTTTTATGGTCATAACAAAGTTATTTGTACTGTGTTTTTGACGGTTAACTCTTGAGCAGTATTGTGCCTGCCCATGTTTCTCTCTCTGACATGCTTTGTCTTCTCCTCTCTTCAGGCCTCTGAGAAGACTCTTGAGTACCCTGGCTGGGCTCTTGGTATGATTGTCATGCTGATAATCTTTGCCAGCTTGCCTGTGCCTATTGGCTACATCTATTCCACATTGAAAAATCCCAAGGCCTGTAACACTCGCTCCGAGGAGGTGCACCAAGAGATGCACCGTGAGTTGTACACCAAGTGCAGCTCCACTGAGCAGCTGGGTTCCCATCACAGAGTCCCCACTGAGGAAGACAAGGCTCATCCCAGGACTGCCTTTCTGCCGCTGGGCAACGAAGACTACCGGCTCCTGTCGCAGCAGGAGGAGGAGGAGGAGGAAGATGATGATGAACAAGATACAGGGGTTTGAGCATGGCTGTGGGAGGAAGAAATGTTTACATGCTCCAGAGTGCATGAGTAAGACCCAGCAAGAGAGATCGCAAAGTGAAGGGAGGTCAGTAATAAAGAGAATTATTTTTAATCTGCGCAAGAGTCGTGGGTTTGCACCCATTTATCGTATATCAGTCAAATCAAAAGCTTTTTAGATTCTGTAGTTATGAAAATACAAGTCCTCCCTTCATTCATTGTCTGAACCAATCACAATATTCTGACAATAAAAACACTCGCAGATGCATCAAAAAGGAATAAGCTGCTATATTTGATGAAATACAGAATTTATGGAAGGTTTTAGAGTTGGAAAGTGACACACTGTTGTCTTTTGTTTCTGCCAGCCTTGTTTCATTCGTTGGCCGGTGAATTGAAGAAGACGGCAACGGACAAAATTAGGCTTTGAGTATTTTTAGCTAAATGCCAAGTATAAATTTGCATGAAAACATTCGTGTGTGTGTGTGTGTGAGAGAGAGAGAGAGAGAGAGTGTGTGTGTGTGTGTGTGTGTGTGTGTGTGTGTGTGTGTGTGTGTGTGTGTGTGTGTGTGTGTGTGTGTGTGTGTGAGAGAGAGAGAGAATGTGTGTTTGAATATTTACGTTCATTTCTGTTGTAAATCAGTGTGTGAAATTTTAATATGTCAGTAAAATAACTTTATTTTACATTCTATTTGTATCATTTTACCTCATAAGACCACAGCAATGTTTTTAAATGTCACAATGTGCTCAGTGTAGCAGAATTGTACTGTATAGACTTTAAATAAACCTCTAGATGGCAGCAACCTGACTGGATGGGGATTTATTTTTTATTTTTATGATTTATACATCACCAGTGAATCGTTTTATTTTTTATTTTTACACCTTCTAAAAGTCAAATATAATATTGATTAGGACATTGTGTATGAGGACATTTGATTTTTTTTTTATGTTTATTTCGGTTAAGAAAGTGAATGAAACATTTTGTGTTTTTTTTTTTTTCTCATTTTTCATGAAGCTGAAGCCCCTAATAGAAGTTAAGTGTAACATGTTTGACTGTGGCATTGCTTAAGGGCTCAACAAACTGAAGAATAGTAAAGTTAGAGTGGCAATTTAACTTTTTGCAATTTATGATATTTTTCCTGGACAATGCAGATCACATTTGTCTTCAAATCACACGAATGTGCCTTTTACAGTATGTGGGATTGAACATCATAAGTCAACATTATTTGGCTGCCAATGTCAGTTAAAATTATTTCAACGTCAATGTTGTTATGCAGATAGATTTCATACATGTAATTTGCTACACACTAAAATCTCAGCTTTAAATCAATTAAGGCTTTTGTGTATTCAATTCTTTAAAAATGGTGTTATTAAAATGAACGACATTATAGTCTAGGTGTGATCTGCCCTTTTATATCGTTCTATCAATAAGATTGTAGGGTTTGTAATCATCAAATCTCAGTTACAGAGAGATAAAAAAAAGAAGTGTCTTCCCCATCACACACGTATGCGCAAATAGTTTATTCCACTTTCAAGTTCACCTTTCTGTGGCCCGTTTGAAAGTGAATTGGAGGCTTGTGCGTGTAACGGAGGGATGAGAGGGGGAGGGAGGGATAGAGAGAGAGAGGACTTTGCGCTTTCCGGCAGGACAGGAGGGCGCGCGGGACATCAGCAAACCAGCCGGGTCAAGAAGCTGCAAGGATGGATATCCGACCAGACAGGATTAAGGCGGTCGCGGGCAAAACTCTGGGGAAAATTAACAGGTACACACCTATTTCAAATATTCCTGACTCCACCTCTGACTTCTCCCCATTTTCACGCGTTTGGTGATCTTGTTCTGCGGGACACAGCATGCTGCGGGTTCCCATCCTCTCTCTTCCAAACAGTAACTCGAGAAAAAGTTTGTTAGATATTGATTCCAATGGAAACGGAGGCGACGTTTGGGTTTAAGCCGCAAACATAATGTCGGTATAGTGGCAAAAGCCCAGCTGTGAGCAGCGCACATTAATTTGATGACCAAGTGGATGAAATATTGTGTCAATGATAGAAAAATGTTTGGCTGTCTTTTCATAAATAGTTCATTTTTATTTGCAGGAAGACATTAGGGCAATATCCACCAAATAAAAAAAAAAAGTAAATTGTGGGGATGTCATCGGGATAAAAGTGTGTATTGAAAGTGCGATGAACTCGGTGTCTGTGTGTGTGTTTGGGACAAGATGTTTTCTCGTTGTGGCTGGATGCTTTGTTGCACACATTTCCTCTGAAATCATGAATGTTGCTGTTGTCTCTGGAACTAATTGCTTTCCTGCAGCCTCTCATGTTTGTTTGTTTGCTAAAGTCAGATTTGGCCCAACTCAAAATGGATTAAGTATATTTGAGACGGGTGTAACTCGGTTACGTAATGTTTCCGTGCGTTTTCTGAATGCATGGAATGGTTGATCAGATGGGACCAAAGTCAAATCTATCCATCTATTCATCCGTCCATCAAACACATTTAATTTAACTTCATTTTGTATTACAAAGCCAATGCTGTTTAAAATTGGCTGATCAAACAGAGAAAACCATATTAGTCATTATAGTGATGCGAGCCGAAACGATTAGCGGGCTAATTGATTAGTCGGTCAACAGAAACTTAATAGGCAACTATTTTGTTAATCGGTTAATCTTTTGAGTATTTTTTTAACCAAATATGTCAAACATATTTCTAGCTTCTCACATCTGCTTCAAACTGTTTTCCTTCCGCTTATGGGAGAAAATGTAATATATTTGGGTTGTGGACTAGTTGGGTTGTGAGCAATTTGAAGACTTAGTAATACAATTAAATCTGTACAGCTGTGCCATCTAAATGCATGGCCTTCACACAGTAGCTTTTTAAGATGGTTAATGAAGAAACTGATCTCGATTAGTTCATGTCTGTGACTGTGTAATCCTTAAAGAAAAGATCAACATACATAACAAACTCTAGAAACGTGTTAGGAGTGATGGATATATGTTAATAAATTGCATATCAATACAAAAGTTGCAACTCAGATTGGTGTTCTGACAATATTTCAGTAAAAAGAGAGAGATTAAAGACACTTATAGAACCTCATGCAATAACCATTGCTTTAAGCTTTCACTCTCAGGATTTGAGGTAGCAACCAAACGTATAAATCCCGTCCTGAAATAGCCTGTTTTTCAGTCCAGCTGTCGAGCCACGCAAATCCCTAAACTCTCCCCTCCCACCCACTCCATCCAAGCCCATGTCACTTCCTCCAGCCGCTCCCTCCTCTATCCTCCATCCATCCATCCATTGAGCCGTTGAGACACCATGCACAGATAACTTTCAGCCTATCGGGGTCTCCCAGATTAACGGACATGCAAATCTCAGGCTTTTTCTGATTTACTGGTTGTGAGCCATGCGTTTGCACGGCCACAGCTGAGAGAGATGTGATGTAAGATTGAATCCAGATTGGTTTTAGTGGGTGTTTCCTTGGCTTAGCCAGTTAACTGGTATTATGTGTCACACTGTTAGGTAAAGGCAATGGTTTGAAAAAGAAAAAGTGAATATGTTGTTCAAATTTATGTGGAAGATGCATGATTTAAGGCATCCATCTGTGTGTATGTTTATAAATGTGCATGATCACAGGACAGCCCTGCATTGTGTGTGTGTGTGTGTGTGTGTGTGTGTGTGTGTGTGTGTGTGTGTGTGTGTGTGTGTGTGTGTGTGTGTGTGTGTGTGTGTGCAATCTCACCACCTCACAGACAAAATCCCTCCTGATGAAAGCAGCCAGGAGTTCATCTATTATTTAAACATTTTCTCCATCAGAATGCATCCCCTGTTTCTATATTAAACTCCACTAGGTAAGCATAAACTTCATCACTGTAAGGTCAAGTGCACACTACATTTCTACTCTTACAATTCCCTCTTTCAACAACTGATGGCCTATAATATCATTTATAATATAATATCATTTATTCATCTCCTCGTAGCAAGGAACTATTCCACAGCACTACATAAAATATAATCAAACTACAACCATCTTCTCATCATCATTTTTGTTAAAGTTTCTAATAATATCCCATTCTACGTCTCATTAAAATGACATATATAGGGTAATTGAAAGACTTTTAAATGAATCTGGTGTTTGTTGCATCTGCAGGATTGCATGCCACACAAGTATAGATTATGTTGCAATACACACAAGGAAATATCCATTTTTAATCCATTTTACTTGCAGTGGAGTGCTACGTTTTCCGTTTCTTACACTGTGGTCTAAAAAGTGGTATAAATGAACTATTCAACAAATGATGACATCAACCTATGCCTAGTCCTTTAACCACTCAGGCTTTGGCAAACTGCAAAAACTGCAAAAGTTTGGGCATCATTTTAATTATAGCATTTTTATCAATTTAGGATTTATTGTCAATTGTTGTATTATATATTACACTATGTTGTTAACATGAATATTTAAGAGCAGTTTACTGATGAATTAATGGTTTGTATCACAGTTTTGGAATCTTCTGAAATGTAATATTACAGTTAAATTGTCGCTTTTGCACAATACACTATTCCGATAGACAGAGGTAAATATTTTTATTATGAAAGAAAAAAAAAAGCCGTCTAATGTAAAGTCCATTTGAATGACCTGTCATCAGTTCAGGGATTTCAACAGTATAATCATTGTGATTATGACAATGGAAGTGATAATGTTAAAGCTGTTGAACTGGTTGTCGTGGTTGAGGCAGAGAGACATCCCTCACTGAACCCTGGGCAGTTTAGAGACTTGAAGATTGAGAATTATACTTTTGAAATGCTTCTGCTTGTGGTCTCTTTCTTGATCTTTTGACTTTCTGTCTGTCTGCCAGGGTGTCACTCCTGTTATTGGCAGCGATGCTGTGTGTATCCATGCCTTGTTGGGTTGAGTTAAAAAACAACAGAACTAGAAGGCAAAGAAACAGTATAAGAGAAGAGGTTTTTATTAATCTTATGACTTCGCTCAGATCATCGTTGGGTAAAGGTATAGTGAGAAGCTGTGTACGTGTGTGTGCAGATGCACTCATACAGTGATTGAGTTATATATGTGACCAATTAGATAATACGTCTATGAAGGTCACACGTGTGGGTTTTTGAATGATGTGTGTCTTTGGATAGTTGTGTGTGTGTGTGTGTGAGTGCGTGCATGCGTGGATGCGTGCGTGTGTGTGTGAGAGAGAGTGTGTGTCCACAGGAGAGTGGAAAAAAAAGTGGTGTGACAGGATGGGGAGGAGGGTGTCTCCCTGGGTGACACAGTCCCACCGAGACCCAATCTGTTCACTTCAGGGAGAGTGAGAGGCTCATGGATGAAGTATGGACGGGGGAGACACCACTATTGAAATAACGAAATTGCTGCAATTTTGTTAAATTCCTCAAGCTAGCGCCCATACTTTAAACACCTGACCTACAATTAAAGGGGGAATAAGGGGGAAATCGTTTTTAGACAAAAGCACTAGAGTGGGTGGGCTGAAATAAAGAAAGAAAAGCATGTTTTACATACAGCACAATGGAGGATCAATTTAGTACAT